TGTCATGTCTTGAATATTACAAGTCTTAAACATGGTAGAGCTAGTAGTGAACAGTTTTATAGAATGTTTCATTCTTTATGGTAATGACTGGTATCCCTTGTACCTGTACACCTCTGTTTCTGGTATGGTCCATATCTGGATGCCCTGGAGAGGTCCCTCCCCTGGTACCATAACCTCCACAGTTTTGTACTTGTATTCTGTGTCACACTGGGCTTGGGTTGGTCCATAGGGACCTTTTGCACCACAGGTTGTAAACCTGTACACTGGGGGCACCTCTGGACCTAATATAAAGGAACAGGATGACAAAATTCAGTCTTCATGATTAAGCAAAATTAATACATCTTATCAGATACATGTTAGCAGATGATGCTGCAAAGTTTTGATCATGGCATGGCATGTAGCTAACTATTCAATTTGTTGTTTCATCAAAACCAATATGTAAAACTAAGAAAGGATGACATAGATAGCAATTTGACTTGGTTAGACTTCCTCCAGGCCAGCAATGTTGGTACAGGAACAAATTTGCATTTTGTAAGCCTTGGAAGCTTGATATGATGATTTGCTCTTTTGGAAAATTATTTCAATTGTCTGAAACAGTTTCTGCCTTGATTCTACTTACAAATGTACCTAAATGCATTTGGCTGCTGTGAAATCCTTAGGTTGTATCAGGCTTCTTGTAGATTGTGACACCAGCAGGATTATTGGTATCAGAGCAATTGACCCCTTGGCATATCAGAATGATATCCTATAACACCTGTTCACCCTTTCTGTTATGTTGTCAGCAACATTAGAGCGATCCAGTACATTTTCTTCTTTCCCTGTTGTATGTTGACACTATAGAGTTACAGTGAATCCCTCCTTCATATCTTATATAGGATTATGTGCTGGGAAACTTACTTCCAGTCATTTAAACATCTTTTATTTATTTTTTAGAGGAAAAAGATTAAAATATTTTTCCTGTAAACCAGATACCATATTGAGAGAGACTATTGTCTAATGTAACATGGCATGAAATGACAATGGATTAAATCTAATCTTATTTGCTTTTAGCCAGCCAGGGACTGTGGCAACATAAAGACAGACACAAATGTGGCTGTCTACTATCAACCACTTATAGCAGATCTTTGGCCACAATGTCATGATTGTATAAGCTAAAATGTAATAACATATGCAGATTTCTATTGCTTGACTATGCAAATGGTCCAGTTTGCCACTCCTAGATGGTTGCAGATGTAATTGTCACCAAGGTCTTCATCAATATGTTTAAGATAGAAAACTGTGCTGGTTCAGCTGAGTAGAAAACTGGTTTTCTATGCTTTTCAAATTTTCCTATTTTGCATGTCTCCCTCTTGTTAGATGGGAGCCAGGGTTTTGAATACTTGTCAGCGGGTAATGACACTTGCTTTGTTAAGTCATAGCCAAACAGCTGGGCCACAATCCATTCTTGTCTGGTTTCCTGTCAGACAAATATCAGCTCCATTGTATGTTCTTTGTTAATGGATACCATCCAACTTTCTCCAGTAACTTTGCACAACAAAAGATTATTTGGTTGCCCATCAGCAGATTTTTTTTAAATTAAACCATGCTATCAAAACCTTCATTAAAGATATTAATATTTTACACACACATTGTACTTTCTCCCTAAAACAAAGCACACAAATTGCTTACCTGGATCCATGGTGGCGTACATGCAGGCATCAGTGAATGGTGACTGGGTAGGATTGGATACTGTTGGCAAAAGGGTCATAACATTTATTCAAACCGAGTCACAAGCAGGTAAGATTTTTTTTTTTAGTAAGATTTCTTAAAGACACCATCTAAATCTTTTTGGCATCCTGATCTCGTGATCTGAAATTGAGAGGTTCAAGGTTAACATTCCTGCCCCCCCCCCAAGTTGTGCCTTTGGGGAAAAAAAATAGTAAATGAGTACATGTATCTGAGTTAAGCCCCAGTCACACACATTGTATGATTTAACTATGATGCTATTTTTCTCTGCAATGATTTGCCAGATATTGAAGGTTTGAGAAGCAGGAGGCAATAGTTTAAACATATACATGTAAAGCCATGGTCACAAACATTGTAGGTCATCATACAACAGGGTTAAGGGAGTGAACCTGCCAGTGGGTCAATCTCAGGTAAATTACAGACAAGATCATTACTTCACAGAGTGCTATGCAATGGAAAATATGGATAAAAAGGATTTTGAACATGATCAAGATTTTCATAGCCCCCATGTGTATTTCTGTCCCTAAAAATCCAAATCCATACATTTTGACACGTGTTCTTGTCATTTTAATTCTCCTTAATATTGCTTATCTTGTTGAAACCTGTAACGAATAGAGCCGAGTAGCCACAAGAGAACATTGTATCCCCATATATATAGTAGAGCTTGCTTTCTCATGTGTCAATTCAAGTATTGCATGTAGGTGACAGATAACCATGACTGTTCTTGGTGCTGAAGAGGATGCTGGTATTACCATATGTAACACACACACATTTCCTGTTTGAATGCAATTAAAATCCAACAATGGGATCACAACTATCAATCCTCCAAAGACCCAAAGTCCCATTGACTGGAAAATACTTTGTAGCAACACTTTTGCAATTATCCCCCACACTAATATTCTATGCTTCCATCACCCCAGAAAGTTGTGACAGGCTGTCAGAAATCTGTTCTTTCCTAATAGTTTTTTTGTCCACATGTGACAAATGACCATTTGTAAGGATGCTGCCAAATGCAAAATGTTGTGTGGTAGCTGGTAGCCTGGCCCTTATAAAATATAAGTCAATGAAACTAAAGCCTCGGTCACAACTCGCCGTACGTGCTTCTGCGTGCTGTCTACGTGCAAAAACGTGGGCAAACGTACGGCATCCGTGCGTGGTGAGTACCGCCTCCGTACGGAATCCTACGGATTTGGGAGCACGCAGACACGCCGTAGAACCTTAAGTGCATGTAATACTTTTTCTACGTGCGGTCTGCGGATTTACCACCCGTGCGTGCGAGTACGTGCGACGCGCGTGCCCCGTACAGCCTATGAGCGTGCAACGTACGGACTCCGTGAGTCTAACTTCACTATTCTCACGTGCAATTGCTGTACGGACAGCGCACGAAGCACGTGAGTGCCACGCACGGTGCTTGCGTCATCCGTGTTTACTCCTCACTTCCCAGTTGACCTGCTCAATGACCACGCAGAACACACGTGCACCATACTAGGTGCTCCGCACGTGCAACGCACGTGCAACGCACCTTATTTCTACAGTATATAAAGACGACTTGACAGGCGACTGCCAACTCGTCTCCAAGATGCCCAGGAAGGCTCAAAAGAAGTCTACCAGACAAGATCCAAAGAAACGGGCCGCGGAAGACACCAGGGCGGCTAGTGATGATGAAGTTATCAGGAGGTGCACGCACTTACAACGTGCGAGTGAGTAAGGAAATCGTGCGCACGCCGCACGTGTAGGTACGGCCTGTACGCGGCAACGTGGCAATCGCACAGAGATCGTACGTGGTAAGCACGTACAACTCACTTACCACTTGCGCAACGTACGATGCACGCAACCGCTGACGGCCAGGCGTGTCGTGCAGACCACGTACGTACACCTTGCGAGTGACGTACTCCCTCGGCCGGCCACCCTACGTTTGCAGAAAAAACGTAGCAGACGTAGCCACGACAAAAACGTACGGACAAAAAGCACGCACGGCGAGTTGTGACCGTCGCTTAACTATTGTATAACACAGTGCTAGATGTACAAGAAACTAGCTATTAATGAACCTTTATTGCATGTAGGTATTCCTGGGGGGATAAATGCTGGGATGCACAATGTACAATGTACTGAAAAGATGTTACAACAATAAAATAAAAGGCTAACATTATGTAGATCTAAGGTATAAAATGCTAAAAAAACTATAAAGGTACTAAGCAGTATCAATCTAAGTTCTAATGGCTTCTTCTCTTTTTGAAACATTTCAAATATGATAATACATACTTCATTCATGACATTAATATATTAATATAACACAGTGCTGGATGTACTGAGACAGTGCTATAGCACCCCATTAAATAAAAAAATAAAATAAAATGCAACATGCTTCATTTGAAGCCATTGATAAGAAAGATGCTATTGATTGATTTCAATAGGAATACAGACTTCATTATTTTCATGGTTCTATACAGGTATGTAAGGTAAGAACTCGTTTTTGGGAATGTGAAGGAAGAGGGTTGAGTTTGACTTGTATTTTTAAGGAAGGTTTCCTCTTCCCTACATCTTACAGCCTGGAACCTGTAGCTCTGAAAAGACCTCAATGTACACTTTATTACAATGCATTAATGTCCATGATTAGATCTAGACCTGTTTTCACATCAATTGAGAACTCATTGTCACAATGACTCACATGATACAGAAGAAGTCCTTAATGAACATCCATTCAGGGATACAAAAATGTAGAGGCCAGCCACCTTTGTTGCATGAAGAAGCAAAGAAAAACTCCAAAGCAATATTATGTTGCATGTAACATAACTAAGTAAGAAAAAAAATGTGACACCTTTGCATCTATATATATTTGGGGTTGACAAATAGTATTTGGCACTGGTTCATGCAAAAGGATTTTTTTGCTATTCTTATGCTATGTCACCCTGGCCATTTCATGCTACATATCCTGGAAAGGTTTGGAGCTACTCCCTTGTCATGCTTGTGTAAAGCCTTTGCTGTCCCAACCAAGGATAAGGACAAAGGGACACTGCATGCAAATCTGTTTTCTCCTTACATGTAATCAGTAGGCAAACTAACCCAAGCTAAAAACAGTGTAGCTTACAGCCCACCAGCTATCGGCCATGCCTATCCAATCTGACTGTGTGAGGCATCATCTTAGTTTGACAATTATGCAAAATTGGTATCTGCAATGAGATGAATCTAACAAAAGTACCTCTAAAGAGAAGCTTTCACTTACGGTTCAGTCTCCTGCAGCTGGCTGAACGACAAAGACCAAACTGACTGCTTGATTTGTAGGAGTAATGAAACAGTCCTGTGTTGCCAGCAAGCCTGAGTATCCAACTGAGCCTGTTGGTTGCATCTGGCTTATTAGCTAGTCCTTCAAACAAGCGTTGGGCTGCTACAATTCAGTTACTTCCCCATAGTCATACCGGTACCAAATCTATGAATTAGGTACTTTTATGCCATGTTGTGGCAGAAAACCAAGCTCATGTAGAACTGATTTTTGTATTTTGACATCATTACACGGGGCATCATTTTTTAATAGCTGCACTAATGCTTAAACTTAAAAACGTGGGTGGACAAATTTTGGCTGCCCCATCTAAAATAATAATTTTAAACAGCAAAGTTTTTTTATTGATTTTATTATTTTTTGTGCTTTTTTCTATTATTTCTATTTAGAAATTAGATGTCAAGAATATGCTGTATACTAAGTATACATTCATATAAACCTACAAAAATATTTGTGTGCACTGGTGCCCCCACAGGAAAACATTCATGGTCTTAAACAAGGACAGGGGGCGTCACTACCAGTGAAACCTGTATATGACTGTCTCTTGTCACGTGATTATCCCATCAAGTCAGGTGACAAGAGAACTCCAAGACAAGATCTTAATCGGGTTGATGAAGAGACAGAGTACATCTCAAAAGCTCCCCAGCATAGCTGAACTTTTGTTGTGTGTATATGTATAAATTTTTTGTCAAAATTCATGGTCTTGTGTAAGGTAAGCCCTGTTACAGCATATTAGAAACAGGGATGATTTTTAATTTGTATCCTACTGATACATGTGTAAAATAAACTAGATTTAATGTTAAAGTTTACAATCTTTAATGTCCAAAATGAGTAGAGATACTAACGATTTACTTCCATGTTCAGTAGCTTTTTAGATATTTTTGCCACTTACATTCCCAATCATCATTACTGGTAACAATATACTGCACTTCCTGTATATGTGTACCTCAACCATATGTGACCTTGTCCAGTTTCTAGTGGCAGTCATTCAGAGCTTGCTTGTCACATACAGTAACATCAATTTCACTTTGTTCTTTATTTGTTGGCAAAACATCTGGACCCGTCAATGTGGAATGAAGACATGATTTTGATTTCATGATTTTCTGTTTCCAACAATATCAGTTATTTTGGTGGCTAAATCAAAGGTGATGGGATATGTCGTGGCATGTGAAAATGGCCAATTTTTTTCAAACCTCTTCATTGGAAAATTCCCATTTCCCCATTTTAGAATTTACTAAAATGTGAGAGGTTAAAGAAAGTAAAATTCCATTCTTCTTGTAGCTAGAGGGATATCCTTTATTCCCATACACAGTTTTTTTTTTTTACTTCAGAATGATTTCCACCAATAGACGGTTGCTAGGCCTGAGGATATGGAAAATCAATTTGAGGCCCCTAATAGAGTCGGGTTAAGATTGATTTAAAAAACCTTGTGGAAATATAATGGAATTGTAGTCCAATCATGCTTTTATCTCTGGCATATAATTTGTGACATACATGTACATATTAGGGCCATGTCATATACTCTCTCTCTCTCTCTCTCTATATATATATATGTCATATGTGCTATGTATAGAGCTGTGTACCGGTACGCAGTACCGATACTGTACCGGAAAAATTGATTAGGTACAGGTCCAAAATACCTAATCCCTCAGTACCGGTACTGTACCTAAACAATTTCACACCAATTTTATGCCTATTTGTGACCTCAAATGTTTAAATAGCTGGT